GTTAAAGCAGAAGAATAGACTATGGATACAGCGTTTATATTTTAAGAATCGCGATAGTGAAGAAGTTTTATATATAATCAAGTATTCGTTTCTTTACCATTGATACAGAAAAACAATAGATATCGAACATAAGTGTGGTTACATATAAAGTGTGACAACTAGGAAAAATATGTGATCTTTATTTTGTTGTTATAAAAAATCACTAGACATACATGTCACAATAAGCCTCATTACCACTCAGACTTCGTTTTCAAGGAACAAATATTTCGTTATTTATGCTTACTAAGTCCGAAGTTGGTATTGTTTCACGTTGAGCTTAATTCACTGTTTTGATCGTAAATTACGTATCAAAACTACCATTTACACTTTATTTGAATTTATTTCAGTTAACGTGACATTGTATTTGTGTGTTTTGATCCTGCTTTTGTGTATTTACTGCATCAAAGCATTCTTGGTCGACTGCGGCTTGTTTATTTGATAGGTTGTGATTTATCTTACATATCTACCTTGCCTATCATTTTGCTTTATTCTAAGATGGTCGGCTCTGTACACAAGTGTGGACAGCCATATTGCTTATTCCCCGTGGAAGAAGGGATGCAATGTGACGAATGTAAGAAGTGGTTTCATAAAATGTGCACCCGCTTAAGCCCTGCTGCCTATAAAAGGTGCTCGAAACCAAATTCTCATTGGCTCTGTATGTTTTGTTGCTCAAGCAAGATATTACTCATTCAGGAAGCCATCAGCCTTCTAGCGTTAGCTAAAAAGGTCGACGTAGGCCGTGCCGGCAACATGGATATTGATAATGAAGATTATATCAGTGTCGTAAATGCTGCCATGGCAGGTACCAGACACCAAATTTCGCAACATGAAGCAAAAATCTGTACTCCGGTACGACCAATGAAAGCCATGCCATTAAGTATTGAGGGATCAGTCGCTTTAGCAGCTACTGAGGTCCCGGCTAGAACCACAATCGTCCAGAATAGTTCCAATCTGGATGCTGAGAATAGTGGTAAATGGATTACGCGGAAACGCAAAAGAGACGGAAAAATACCCAAAGAAAGCGCGCGTATAGTCGATAAGTCATCGTTGGACTCACGTCCTGAGCATCAGGCAACTCCGCTCAAGTCCAAATGTAAGAAAATATTTAATACTGTTGTGGATGAAAATAGCCTAACTTCACCAAATATTGTTGGGAGTAACTCGCTCGACCCACATGACACTGTTATAAAGAAAGCTAACAGTAAGAAGCCGGTAGCTAACCGGCAGGATCTGACATCACGGTCGAAAGCCGTGAATATGACTTTTAAGGAAGTTAAACGGGTCCCTAGTGTAATCATCTGGAACTTGGAAGAATCGAAAGACACCGATCCCTCTAAGAGACATACCCACGATCTGCAGTTAGTGGGACCTCTCATCAGAAATATACTGCCCGATGAGGTCCCAGGGGTACATATCTCGAAAGTCATCAGACTCGGTAAATATGTTGGAGGCGAAACCCAACAGAGAAGGATCCTTAAATTAGTACTCGGTAATTTTGAGGAAAGGGACGTAGTACTGAATAACGCACACAAAATTCGTGACTCAAATATTCGTATTCGACCTGACTGGCCACTTGAGTATTGTGTAGCTGTAAATAATTCCCCAAAATCAATAGCTCAATAAGTGTTCGACATTGGATGCTGACCACGTTGTTTAAGTGGACTTGTTTAACTGAAGGCTTTCGGTCATACATCCGTACCAGATCACGTTGCAACTCGGAGTGGGACGGCTCCTACGTTTCCATAGTCAGCTAATAACGAACGCCTCTCAATATGTTGGTAACGTATCAAATATATCTTTCCTATCTCTTCTCGTATGACTTCTGATTTCCTTTGACCGGGAACGATCGATTATAAAAGATACTACCGGTTGCTAGTTGTAAAATTAGAATATCCGTCGTATCCTCAATCGGATCAAGTGGAAGAATGCCCTAACAGAGTCAAAAACTCGGAAGCTAAACGGTGAAGCGAACCTTACGATTAAGGGTTTTCGGGTAGTCAGGTCTTGGAAGTCAATGCTTCCGAGACCTGTGTGGGTAGAACGTATGTCTCCAAAAACACCTTAAATGTGTGTTACACGGATGCCCGTAGTCTTCGGAATAAGATGTCTGAGCTAAGTTTGATGGTAGACGAATTAAATCCGGATATAATTGTTATCACCGAAACTTGGCTTACTGTAGATATAGACTGTTCTCCCATCATTTCAGGCTACATCTGTATCAGAAGTGAAAGAGTCAGAAGCCGCGAGGGAGGAGGCATAATATTATATGTTAGGGACCACTTCCGCATTAACTCGATCATATCGGAGGCGCATGTAAGTGGTACGTGTGAGGTAGTATGTTGTACAATTAGGTCTAGAAACGGGTTAGTGAAGATAGGAGGAATATATCGTAGTCCATGTTGTCTCGCTGACGACTTTATCCTAAGATACGTCTGTTCTTAGAGTAAAGCAGATTGTTGTCTCATCGTTGGAGACTTCAATGCACCCCATATAAACTGGATAGAGCTCACAGCTCCAGGTGGCGATTTCGATAGCGTTCTTCTGTCATCAATTATTCAATGTGCACTTGTACAATGTATCGTTAAGCCGACGCATATAGACTTGGAACATAATCCGTCATTTATACACCTTGTCCTCACACACCACTGTGAAGATATCGTCGACATTCAACACCTTCCCCCACTGGTGAATAGTGACCATGTCGTACTTTCCTTTAAGTTCCGGATACATGGTATAGAATTCGCATCTGCTCCACCCCGTCCTAATATCTGGAGAGCTAATATTCCGGCAATCAGGGGCTATGCTATCTCGGTTGACTGGTCGGTCAATGCTGATGGATCAATTGATGATGCATGGAATATGTTTAAGTTTACGTTCGAATCCGTAACTCAACCGTTTATCCCATGGTCAGCACGTGAGCTATCATATTGCCCCCCATGGATTAATAAGGAAACCTGGAAGCTGTTGAAGAGTAGGAAACACTTCTGGGACTTATTCTTAACAACAGGTCAGGCATCATTTAAGTGTGAATATAAAAATATCCGGAATACATGTAAAAAGACCACAGCTAAATCCCGCACGGCTTACGAACGACAGTTGGCATACGATAGCCGTACCTATCCGAAGCGACTGTTTTCGTACGTTAAAAGGCGGACGAAACGTAGTGATGGTATCCCCTCATTACTGTTAAGCGAAAATTCAGCTTTATTGGCTGAATCTGATCTAGCGAAAGCGGAAACATTTGCAAACTATTTCAGTGAAGTCTACTCTACGTGTAGTGTTACAACTACTTGTCCCGTTGACAATGAGATACCAGCCGTGGGACCTTTAAACGTGACAGAGGATATTGTTCTTCCTTTGATAACTAACCTAAAACCTTGTAAGATACCGGGCTCCGATGGGTCACACCCACGTTTACTTCATTGCTTGCAGACATTATCTCAAGACAGCTCACGATGCTCTTCAACATGTCCTTTACCTAGAGACTGGAAAGACGCCATAGTTAGTCCTATATTTAAGGATGGTCAGAGACGGATAGTATCTAACTACCGGTCTGTTAGCCTGACCAGTATAGTAGTTAAGTTACTTGAAAAATTAATTCGGGCTAAGCTACTGAGCCACATAGATTCGTACAATCTGTTAACTCCCGAGCAACATGGGTTTCGTAACAAGCATTCATGCTTGACTAACTTACTCATTGCGAGAGAGGATTGGACAGCTGCCCTAGACAACGGCCAGTCTGTCGACGTGATATTCATAGATTTTAGCAAAGCGTTTGATAAGGTTTCACACTTAGGTCTTATGCAAAAGCTCTCGAGCTTTGGAATAACAGGTGCTATACAGGAATGGATAGGAAGCTTCTTATGTGACCACAGACAGAGAGTGAGAGTCAATGGAACTCTATCCGAATGGAAACCGGTCAAAAGTGGTGTACCCCAAGGCACCATCTTAGGCCCTTTACTTTTCCTTCTGTATATTAATGAACTACCTTTATTACTTAAGTCGTCGACATTATTGTTTGCGGATGATGTTAAAATCTGGAGAACAATAAGAAATGAGTTTGATCGTTGTTATCTGCAAGCAGATTTAGACGAATTAGTTAGGTGGGCTCATGATTGAGGCCTGAAAGTTAATTCCAGGAAGAGCGTGTTCATGCACATCGGGCACGATATTAGTTACCACTATACCATTAATGGTACATCTCTGCCACGCGTTCATACGCATAAAGACTTAGGAGTAATTATAAGTCACGACTTAAAAACTACTACGCACTGCAGTGCGGTTGCTTCCAAAGGCTATCGCGCGCTATGGTCGCTTCGCAGAGCATTTAAATGCTTTGACGAGGATATGTTTCGAATTTTATATCCCACCTATGTAAGGCCACACTTAGAATACTGTATCCAAGCACCTAGCCCTTGTCTGATAAAGGATACTAAATCGCTTGAGCGCGTCCAGCGTGTAGGGACAAAATTAGTAAAGGGTCTTTCTAAACTCCCTTACGATGAGCGTTTAAAACGTCTAAACCTTTTCCCCTTATCTTATCGTAGGACGCGAGGTGACCTTATACTAGCGTTTCGTATCTTTAATTATGATCAGGGTGTTAATATGTCTTATCTTTTTGCTCCCTCCAGCATTAATAATCTCCGGGGTCATAGCAAGAAGGTTCTGAAATCGCGATCTAATAAACTAAAGGTGGGGTCCCGTTTTTCTCATTGAGTGGTCAATGACTGGAACGCTTTACCAGAACAAGTGGTATCAGCACCATCATTGAACATTTTCAAAAAGAAGCTGGACTTTCACTGGAAGGAAATCTGTCAGGATTAACACAGGTTCATCAACCTACTATCCTTATTACTGAAGACTGAAGTTTGTTCAATAAACTGGTGTGCCCGTTTCAAGTTTGGCCTTGGCGCCATTTAGTCTATTGCCCCCAACTCTCTCGTCATATGAAATGAGATAAAATGAGTCGTAAGAGTTAATTCAACTTCTTAGTAGCATTTTATTAGAGAAAGATGCAAACAAAGTGGTGACGGTTGTTGCCTACTTGTGTCAAGGAGACAAGTCTAAGGAAATATCGTACACGGATGCCAAAGTAATTGGAAACGGATCGTTTGGCGTTGTGTATCAAGCCAGACTCCTGGAGACTGATGAAATAGTCGCCGTTAAAAAAGTTCTTCAAGACAGGAGATTCAAGGTGACCATTTTTCCCAACCTTGTATCTCCCCGTTATTTTGTGGATAGAAACTTGTGTCAGCTTTTTGTCCTTTATTTTAGGGAAACTAAATTTTTTAACAGATGATAAGTATGTGCTTTAATAATCCATACGAAACTATCAACGTCCATCACACATCGCTAACAGCCAGCTTATATACAGTCTCTAATGTGCTATATGAAATCAGTTAGCCACAACGTTGAACTTCGTACATACGTACATCAGTTCGAGTTGCCATATCACATTAGCAGAGATGCAGTTGTCGATTCAGATCCCATAGTGGTAGAAGTAGTAAGAGTATAAGGAGTAATCCAAAGGATTATGGTTTGAAGATGTTACTGAAGGAGTATAATCCAATGACAAATTTGGAAAGAGAGAAAGGATTCGGAAATGAAGAATTCAGATTAGAATTTGGAAGAACACAAAGAGTGGATGCATCTTCGCCATTGCAAATTATTTTGAGCTATGTCATTCAAGGTCTCCAACCGTCGAATGCTATCATCTCGCGAATCCCAACCAGGTAGTCTACACCTACCAATATGGCTCAGTTCACTTGTCAGTGACATCATGGATTTATACCATGTTTTGGTCTGGACGCCCCTAGTTTTCTTCCAACCTACCCCTACATCATAAAACATCACTCGTCGGGTCAGTCGGTGGTTGAGCATACGTAACACGTGTCCCAGCCATCTCAACTGATGAAGTTTCAGTACTTTATCATTCCATTTGCCATCCTTACCCAGTACCCGTTTCCTAACAAGTGCTATACTTACTCGGCGGTCCCAGGATATACGAGCAATGCTTCAAAGACATCTATGATCGAGAACTAATAGCCTACCCTCTACTCTCACCGGTCTTGTTTCCCTACCATAAATTAGGACGGAACAAACTGCTGCTCAGTAAACCCGTCCTTTGGATATCTCTCGTACGCCGTAAATGACGCAAGTTGGCGATAGCTATTCGAGCCTTCTGTATCCGTGCTGAGATTTCGTCACATACCAGACCACAAGGGCTAATGAGACTCCCAAGATAAGTGAAGCGATCGACACTCAACTTCTTCACTCCCTATCATTAGTTCAGGAGACGATGCAACCCAATCCTGAAGTAACATTTTACATTTCGAGGGGTAGAATCTCGTCCCAAACATGCCTGCATTGTTGCTTATGGCGGTCAGAAGCGGGTAAACCTCGCTTTAGGTGATCATTATCAAGAACGAGTTTTTCCTATTTATTTAGCATTATTTCACCCAGGTTAGAAGGTAGTAATGCTAAGGCTAATGAATGTCTACAAAATCTGTTCAACCGATCTTTCCTAATGATATGGCCCACAATTTGGTTAATTAGTACGATTTAATTATAAACCATACACAAACACAACACTTGGTATAAATATCTATCTGACAGACTTGCTATAGTTAACACTGGCAAAATAGGAGAAAAGCTAAATGATTAGCTTAGTTTTAAAAATGGATGTTTGTTACTATTAAAACATCTTGAATTATAAGTTTTCTGCTGCAATGAATGATATTTCCTGTGATCATTCTCATGTTTATTTTCCGTCAGTGTTCGGTCATGAGGTATAGCAACTTGGACTGATACACATCCAAGTCGTGGCCATTGTCTATGGCTGATCGATTGTCATGTAAGACAACATTGCCAACGAGTGTTATGTTACTCATACGATGTTCAATGATAAAATATCTCAAATTAATTTCAGTTTGGAAAAGACAGAAAGCTAGGTAGCCCGTGTCAGTTCTGACAATGGTGGCCTCAGTCGATCCAACTTTGGGGAGCGTCGGAAGGTAGAGCTTCAACCACATTTTGAAGTAATAAGTTCCACTTGTTGATGATCCGATGAGAAAGTTGTTAGTCAGCCGGCAAGTAACTTGTGAACTCTTTTAGTGTCCTCGTAAATCCTTTGTTTTGAAAGACAAGAAAAATGAGGACACATCAGATGCAAATTTATCACTAAGTAATTTGAAAACTGTAATCAGGTCACTTCTAGTTCTTTGGTATGACAATGGGCATAGGTTTAGTTTAGCCTTTTGTTATAACTTCCATGTGATCTTATTCGGTTCGGCTTGCCTTCAACTACTCTACAGTTACAAACCATTCCAAAACACCCTGGACGGAACATGAAAGTAGGTCCTCCGACTCTAATTGAAGTTCAAAAAGCTATAGCTAATTTAAAACAAGGAAGAGCTAATGGATTTGCTCCATCAGTCAGTCAGTCAGTCACAACGTAGAACTTCGTACGTATGTACATCAGTTCGAGTTGCCATACCACATTAGCACAGAGATGCAGTTGTCGATTCAAATCCCATAGTGGTAGAAGTAGTAGGAGTATAATCAGAAATCCAAAAGATTAGGGGTTTGAAGAAATTATTGAAGGAGTATAGTACAGTGAAATAAATTTGGAAAGAGAAAAAGATAAAGACATGAGGAATTCAGAAGATTAGAATTTGGTAGAACACAAAGAGTGGATGCATCTTCGCCATTGCAAACGATTTTGAGCCATGTCATTCAAGGTCTCTAACCATCGGTTGCTGTCATCTCGCGAATCCCAACCAGGTAGTCTACACCTACCAACATGGCCCAGTCCACTTGTCAGTGACTTCATTGATTTGTGCCACGTTTTGGTCTGGCCACCCCTAGCTTTCTTCCAACCTACTCCTACACCATGAAACATTGCACGTCGGGGCAGTCGGTGGTCGGGCATACGTAACACATGTCCCAGCCATCTCAACTGATGAAGTTTCACTACTTCATCAATCGATTTGCCATCCCTACCTAGTACTCGTTTCCTAACAACTGCATTACTTACCCGGTGGTCCCAGGATATACGAGCAATGCTTCGAAGACACCTATGATCGAACACTAGTAGCCTACGAATATCCTCTACTCTTATTGGCCATGTTTCACTGCCATAGAGTAGGACGGAGCGAACTGCTGCACAGTAAACCCGTCCTTTGGTTGCTAGACGGATATCTCGCCTACGCCATAAATGACGCAAGTTGGCGAAAGCTAGACGAGCCTTCTGTATCCGTGCTGAGATTTCGTCACATACCAGACCACAAGGGCTGATGAGACTCCCAAGATAAGTGAAGTGGTCTACACGCTCAACTACTTCACTCCCTATCATTAGTTCAGGTGCCGATACAACCCAATCCTGAAGTAACATTTTGCACTTCGAGGGAGAGAATCGCATCCCGAACATGCCTGCATAGTTGCTTATAGTGGTCAGAAGACTCTGCATGTTGTCAGCGTCTTCACCGAGTAAAACTATGTCGTCGGCGTATTCTAAGTCAACAAGTGAGCCTCCTGGTAAAAGTTCAACTCCTGGAGGCTTAGCTGATGAAAGTGCTATCTCTTAAAGTAAGTCAATGACAAAGTTAAACAAGAATGGGGAGAGTGGACAGCCCTGACGAACGCCACTTGTGGTAATCAGTTCTGATGACAGTTCGCCATAGGCTCTAACTCGACCAGTTGTGCTCGAGTAGAGAGCCTTTATGAGGTTAATGTACTTCTTTGGTACTCCTTTCAGTGACAAACATTGCCATAGAACCTCACGATCAACAGAGTCAAATGCCGCCTTAAGGTCAAGAAATACTACTATTGTGGGACGTCTGAATTTGTGTCTATGTTCTAGAACCTGACGTAGGGTGAATATCTGGTCTATGCAACCACGTCCAGGTCGAAAACCAGCTTGGTTTTCTCTAGTCTGCTCTTCACGAGCTTTGGTTAGTCGACCTAGTATTATTGAAGCTAATATTTTAGACACTATATTAGTCAAACTGATCCCTCTGTGATTGTCACAAGATGACTTTTGTCCTTTCTTATAGACTGGCACAATCAGTGATTGGGACCAGTCAGATGGAATTACGTCCAGTTCCCAGATTTTACCTAAGACCTCAGTCAATCTCGCTGCTAGTACTGGACCACCATCCTTAAAAATCTCAGGGGACAACCTGTCAGGGCCTGCTGCTCTCCCTCGCTTCAGATTTCCTATGGCTTTTTCAACCTCACAGAGGGTTGGAGGACTTACATCAATTTGCCATTCAAGACGACTGGGGATCGTGGGTAATTGAAGTGTGGCTGAAGGCCAGTTGAACTGATCCCTAAAGTGTTCTGCCCATCGATCCAACCTCCTGGATTGAGAATGAATAATATGCCCATCTTTATCTGAGATGGTTTCACTGATATTCGGGTTCCTAATACCGGTTTCTTTAACGAGTCTGAATAGCTGCCTACTGTTACCTATTGCCGCTGCCTTTTCCATCTCTCTTGCTTTCGCTACCCACCACTGTTCACGATCATTACGTAGACTTCTTATAAGCCTGCGATTAAGTTGACTCCGCTCTTCGTTATGCTCAGAGCCAGGTGGGATGAGTTTACGAGCATCTATCAATGCGGTAGATGCTGCCGAGATCCATTGTTTCTCCCTAACGTTATGGTTTACCTTATTAGCGGATATCACTGCTGATTCCACAGCTTTTCGGATGTCATTCCACATGGCCTCGGGGTGGACACAACTTACATGGCTGCCTAACTGTTTTTCTAGTTGTTCCTGAAATATATTCTTAGCTTGCCTATCATTAAGTAGAACCCTTAGAGGCTTCCCTGCAGTGTCTTTCCTACGTCCAGTAAGACGCAGACAAATACGTGCTCACACTAGAGCATGATCTGAATCTAAGCATGTGCCCCAGAATGAGCGACAGTCTTCTATCGAGCCCCTCCATCGGTGGCTGATAGCGATGTGATCTAATTGGGTCCAACGTTGGGACGAATTCGGGGGTCGCCAGGTCAAAAGATGTTTTTCCTTATGCTTAAAGTTAGTATTTGCAAGAAATAGGCGGTTATCTGAGCATAGCTGCAACAGACGGTCGCCATTATCTGTTCTTTTCGCCATGACGCCATAAGATCCACCCAGGTGTCCTTCCCTTTCACTTAGTTTACCTACTTGAGCATTAAAGTCACCTGCTACTATTACTACATCAGAACGCCTAGCTTCTCGGAGAAGGTCAGAAAGTTTCCTGTAGAACTCATCTTTTATATTGTCTGAGCTGCAGTCTGTGGGAGAGTAGGCAGAGACGACGAAGAGGCAACGACGAGTTTCCCTATCTTTCCGAGTCCTTACTGATCCGTTTAGTCGAACAGCGCATAGACGACTGTCTACTGGGATCCAGTCTAAAAGAGCTAGTTCTGCCCTAGGACTTAATGCTATACCTACTCCAGCGAGGCCACGGGAAGCAGCGTCAGGGCTTCCAGATACACGGAGCGTGTATCGAGATGAAACTTTATTTTGATTAGCTGCGGTCAAATGAATGACACTACTCGGATCTTGTATGCGCGTTTCGGAGACGCAGCACACATCGATGGTGTAAGATTCTAGAGTCCTAGCTAAGGAAGCCTGTTGTCCTATTTGGCACAATGTTCGGACATTAAAAGTTCCTACATGTAGTTTAGAGCGTGGTTTCAGGAGACCAGGAATAACGTTCTGTGTACTCGAATCGTTTGCCCTAGCGGTGCGACGCGATAAAAGGACGTGGGAAGGGTTAGTCGAGGAAATAACAGAGTTATTAGGTGTAGGAAGGATTTGAAAGCGACCAACTTGGTCTTGTGTGCAGTTAAGGGTATGAGGGCTAGTATCACTTCCCGGCTGCCCACACCGTGGAAGGGTAGGATTTGCTCCATAGGTCTTTAAGGATGGTGGCTCAGTTTTAGCAATTAGGTTGACCAATATTTTAGCTAAAATCTGAGAACTGAATGTAATCCCATCTGACTGATCGCAATCACTGGTCGTCCCAATATATAAGACGGTATTAAAATCATCCTGTGATAACCATAGAGAAGTTAGTTTAACTAATGTAGCATCTAAAATACTAGCCTCAATTGTTGTTGGTCGCCTAACTAATACCCATGGACTGCAAAGACGAGAAGATCAGGCTGACTTCAGACCTGGTCGTGGATGCATTGGCCGTATATTCACCATTCGTCAGATCTTAGAACACAGACATGCTTACCGGCGTCCGACAATGATAGTTTTTCTCGACATAAAAGCAACACTCGACTCTTTAGACTGAGAGGTTCTGTGTCAGTGTCTGTCATTGAAAAGCGTACCTCATGAGTATATAAATCTTGTGAAGGCTGTTTACTCGAACAATACCAGTCTATTCAAAGCTTATGAAAAGTTATCATCTGATTTTTCAACCTAAAGTGGTGTCCGGCAAGGCTGTCCACTATCCCCATTTTTGTTCAATTTCACCATAGACCTACTGCTAGGAGTAACGTTCCCATCGACTGAATTTTTGGGCATGGATCTACCAAAAGGTCCACTTATCGACTTAGGATACGCAAATGACGTAGTCCTGTTTGGTGAAGACGCTGATAAAATGCAGTGTTTCGGTAGCACTGAGCAACTATGCCAAGATGTTTGAAATACATTTCTCCCCCTCTAAATGCAAGTTGTTCCTTCAGCACTGGTCTTCATCAACACCTGAACTAAGGATAGGGAGTGAACGCGTCGACAACTTCACTTATCTTGGAAGTCTGATCAGCCCTAATGGGTTGGTGTCTGACGGGACCTCTGCACGGATTCAATAAGAAGTTCGTTTGGCTTTTGCCAACTTACGTCACCTATGGCGAAGACGAAGTGTCCGTCTATCAACTAAGGGACGAGTATACTGCACAGCAGTTTTCTCTGTTCTACTTTACGGCTGTGAAACATGGCCATTAAGAGTAGAAGATACTCGTAAGTTACTAGTATTTGATCACAGATGTCTTAGAAATATTTCTCGCATCTGCTGGGATCACCGAGTAAGTAATAGTGAGGTTAGACGCAGGGTATTAGAGAATGATGGTAAATCAGTTAGTGAGTTTGTGAATTATCATCGACTGAGGTGGTTAGGTCACGTATTACGCATGCCTAACCGGCTATCACGGTGCGCAATGTTGATTAGTGTTGAGGGATGGTTGGAAAAGATTTAGGGACTGTCAAACCAAAACATGGCACCAGTACATAAGGTCACTAACTTCTGGTTTGAGCCATGTTGGTAGATGCAGAATACTTCAGTCAGTCAGCTACAACCTAGGACCGGGCACATATATGCATCGGTCCAAGTTGCCATACCTCATTAGCACAACAAGATGAATACCGAATTGATAGAAGTAGTTAGTTTGGTGGTGGTAATATATAAAAGAAAATAAATAATATATTTATAACAATTTACCCAATTTATTCAATTTATTCAAAATTATATAAAAGAATAGTTGTATATAAGGATATAGTACAGGAAGACAGATATGAAACAATTTTATTCTCAAGGTTTAAGGGAAGATAAAGAGTGTATACACCTGCACCATCCACTTCCTCTCAGAGATAAAGATTTATTTCGAGCATGTGAATAACAGTAAAATCAGTTTGCATATGGTAACAAATCAAGTTCTTTGCTTAAACTTGTATTTTTTGAAGGTAGTTTTGAGTAATTTTTATTTTGAGAACTTGTGGATAGTAATGGCTTATCAGTGTTGATAATTTAATCATCCTCCTACCCAAAGTTAACTTCGTTATTTACTTTCAGAATCGAGAATTACAAATTATGCGTCAACTGGACCATCCAAATATTGTGCAGTTAAAGTACTTCTTTCACTTTGTGGGTGACAGAGTAAGCTGTTATGTTGTGTTTAAATACATCGTCATTATTGTATTTTATTTAAAATGTAGTTACATGCTTTTGGTTTACATCTCATTCGTTCTGTTGTATTCCTTTCGATTTTTTATATTAGTTAAAAGCGTAACTGTTAAAACCCAGAGGTTGTATCATCAGTTCTATTTTGTGTGAATTTTCTCACACTCATAGCTCAATTAGTCATTATCAACGTCAAAACCAAGCACAAATTTGTATCAGTTCGACTTGTCACGTCTCATCAGTATATCAAGATTAAGAATCATAGTTGGTAGTGTTAGTGATAGTAAGAAAAATTGATTATAGTTCATAAACAAGAGAAATCGAGAAATATAAAGTATAAAATAGTATAAAAATCCAAATTTTGGAGGGAGATGACAAGTGAATGCATATGCGTCACTGCGACCGATCGTTAACCATGTAATGTAAAATTCCCAGTTACTAATTGTGGTTACTTTTCGAAATCCAACCAGGTAATCTGCTGACAGAGTTGACATAAATAATTAATCGCCTCATAAATTGATCGCCGGTCTTGGTCCAACAGTACCGATAGATATCGGATGTCGTAGTTCATTATATGTATGAAGTAAAAATTATATGGTCCCTAAAGAACCATCTAATTAACTAGGAGTCATTTACATGTTATGCAATTATTTCGGCATAAAACGAACCGTTATGTTAACTTGATATTAGTGTCACTGAAAAAATATGATTATTTAGTCAGCCATATTTAATATCGAGCGTGGTACAAATATGCGTTAACTTGAGTTGCTGTAATGCATCATCACGGTACGAAGAAATTCACATGATGAATTATAAGAGTCCCGATGTTGGCGGTATCAGTTATAATGAAAAACATTAAACATTGAAAGTAAAAGATTAATTCGAGGAATAAAAGATGTGAAATAATATAAAACCTCAAGATGTAGCGTAGAAGCGTTTGCACCAATCTGATTGATTCTAAGCCAAACGACCCAAATTGAGCTAGTGATCACGGTTATCGCACGAATGCCAACTAAGTTTTCACCTCTCGAGAGGTTTCAGTCTTACACTCACTGTCTTCATCGACTTATGTTACATATTAGTTTGATCCTCCCTTGACACAGGTAACGGTTTCCAATAATCTCAGTCGATGGAGATTTGGTCTCATAGATCGATTTAACTGGTACCTTATGCCTAACCTCAAAATAGCTCACTTGGTCTTTTCGTCGTACACAGGCAATGCTTCGGAGATACTCATGATGAAATACTTGCTACCTGCATTTGTCATACTTTAGTAAGCTATGTTTCATAATAGGAACCTACGAATAATTTTAAAGACCAAGTCTCAGCTATAATATATAACAAAGCGAACTGCTACAAAATATACTCGCATCTTCGTTGGGAGACGAACATTTCGTCGGTGATACAAGTGACGAGAGTTGAAAAAAGCCGTGCGAACTTCCTGATACCATATTGGTATTTCGTCAAACACCATCCCACAAGCTCCCAAATGCCCAGGTACACCTGAGGGTGGGGAGGGTCAGTCCTCCCTTTCGAAATGTTCTCACATGGCCACGTGTATATAGCCACTTCTAAGGAAGTCTTACTCACTGCCTTCTCGCAGCGAGGCTGTTGTTTAACGAAATTGAGAGGACGAAAAGCAAATGTCTGGCGCTATAACCATGTTGGTGAATATGGATGACTCACCTAGAGGAGTTGGAAAACCCTGATTCCAAACCAGTGGTGCACATGGGATCCAGAATACTGAGGGAACAAATGGCGTATAAACTTATTGTTGGCCAATGGTTACCGTTGGACTGCATCTCCTAACGTTGCTCCACTGCCTTGTGGATTAGACCTGTAGGTCGAAGACTCGAGAAGTGGCCTCCTAAGAAAACCACCTGCTTCGGTTCGGGCACCCGGGCAGCAAATCAAATGAGATTTGTGAGGCGCATATTTATCTGGTGCTTCCTTGTACCAATATTTATGTGTTTAAATAATAATAATAATTCCCGGGCAGCACTCCAACCCTCACACACCGAATGCTTTGTGCGGCGAATATGTATTTGGTGCCTTCTTGTATCAATGTTTGTATTTAAATAAAAAAATATCCCTGAAGAGCTAATGTGACCTCCAGGATAAGTATTCTCGATGCTCTCACTTACTTCACTCTTTATAATCAATCTAGTCACTAACTCAGAACAGTCCTAAAGCAAAATGTGACATTTAGTAGAGGGCTGGAAACATCTTAAAAATGTTAGGATTATCACTCAAGGGAATGTTTAATTCTCACCTGTCAAATTACTTAAGTACGCACATATAGGTTGGTTACAAGTTTTCGTGATGAGAGTCGAAGCACGAAGCTCACGTAAGTTATTTGGAATTGGTTACATATTATTTTTGAGAGGGCAAAGAATAATTTTTAATCTCTCAGTCGGTTTTCCTTCTATCATAATGTGATTTTTTTCAAATGTTTTTGCCGACTTTCCCTAGAAAGATGATGTTTATTTAAATTTGGTCCTTGAATTTATTCCGGAAACAGTTTATCGTGTTGCCAGAAGATATGCCCGCCAAAAGGAAACAATCCCTCTTTTGTTTGTAAAGGTAATTTTTGTTTTTTCAGCAATTTTATTCCTGTCAACATCAATCTCACACTTTTCATTGATTTATCCAGTTTTTAATAAAATTTCCTTACAGTAGTAAATTGTTTCTCCATTTTTCCTTATCCCCCTTATGTTTCACCACCATAGCCTGCGAATCGATTGATTTATTTGATAATCCATTTCATATTTGCTTGTGATTTTTCAGGGACTAATACTGTCGTGATCCACCCACTCAGCCTTTTTTCTAACTCCAGTCAATCAACTCAGCTTACCGGTAAATATGATACATACATGTACATGACACATGTCCTAATAGTCTTAATCGATAATGATTGACAGTCTCGTCATGTTTTGTCATTTATAGATGGTGCTATCTAGTATACTAATCTTAGCATTACTCACTTAGTGGTTCTATCATACACGAAAAATGCTTCGAAAATACCTATTTCCGGATACTAACAGCCTGAAAGTATTTTGTACTACCATAATTTATTCCACTTTCGTAAAGCGATACAAAACGGTTTGGTTCGCGTTATACGTATCTTTGATAGACAGTTGGACAACCCCCTTTTACCACAGATGACATGGGTTAACTAAAGTCATCAGAGAGTTCACCAACCATCAACCCTCTAGGTTTGAAAAGACCCTCGATAAGAGTAATATGATCGAGTTGCTCAACTTATTTAGTTCTTATATTTAAACTAGACAATAATATAAAGGAGTTCTGAAGTAGATTTTTTCATTTTTCCCCTAAAGTGCACAGAACAGTGAACTTATCAGTGTCTTTTGCAAGTAGAACCAAACTATCTAACTCCCAAACTCTAACTAATATCCCAATTAAATAGATAATTACAGACTGTTATTTTCGAAGATTTCTGGAATTGACTCATCAGTGTCAACTGCCTTCACTAAAGTTTGAAAACTGGATCTCAGTGTCATATCTAGGTAGTTGATTAATAGCAGGGATCATTTGTAAACGTAACGAATTCCATTTTTTTTAGCCTTATGATAGCGTTAAATGTTATTATTGTCACAAATTTATTATCTCCGTCAGTCAGTCAGTCAGCTACAACGTAGGACCAGGCACATTTATGCATCGGTCCAAGTTGCCATACCTCGTTAGCACAACAAGATGAACACCGGGTTCATAGAAGTAATTAATTTAGTGGTGGTAGTAGTATATAAATTATAGGTTGTATATAAGGATATAGTACAGGAAGGAAGAGAGATATGAAGCAATTTTAGTTTCAAGGTTTAAAGGAAGATAAAGAGTGTATACACCTACGCCATTGTGATCGATTCTGAGCCATGTCACCTAGAGTCTCCAACCATTGGTTACGATAGTCACGCGGACCCCAACCAGGTAGTCTGCATCTGCCAACATGGCTCAGACTAGAAGTTAGTGACTTCAAACACTGATGCCACGTTTTGGTTTGGCCGCCCCTAACTCTCTTCCAACAATCCCCTACACTAGTCATCATAGCGCGTCGCTATTATCTCCGCTACTTCTTGTGTCTTCTTTTTCACTCTACCTGTCTCCAAATAAGTGTTATACTTAAAGATTTTCTGGAGATATGTAATTTAAGTTTTCATAATGTATAAGTAAGCTTTTAAAGTTACGAATATTTTTTCCACTTCCGTTCATCCTTTTTTCTCGTGAACATTTAAGAGCTGATTATCGTTTTTATCTTTATGGTTTAGTCAGTAAACTTTCACCTAAAATAAGATCACTAAACAACCTGTAGGGTCTCAACATGTTTGTGTGGGTTTAACAATACAAACATTTTCAAAATACACAGTGTCACAATTTACAATGTGCAAAACGACCATATGATAACTGATGTGTACATCACTTTAACAAACCACGTTTTATAGGCGATGCAAATTCATAGATACTCGGGTTGAAAATTCTCGATCTTGAACAGTTACATTTTTAAGAGCTGTAACGCGGTGGTTTATTTACTTGCTTCATAATTCATATAGCGTTGCAGTCAACAACACCTTATCAGTAGTTAATACTCAGTTCATATGGATTAGTACAGTCCGAAAATTTATGTATGATTGTTCATTTACCTATAGTTCGTATTAAATTCGCATTTTTATTGCTATGGCAAATAATTTTATCTAGTTTTATTTGTACTTTGTTTTATCTTAATTTATTCTGTTCACCTTGAAAATACTTTTGAATTATCCTTTTTTTGTCATACCCTTCTATACTAATCAAGGTTTCTCCACACTTTCTTATGACTACTTTTCTGGACAGGAGAAAAGTACATGTACATGTACCGGGAACGTGCATGTACAATTATTTTCCTAGGTTATGTGCATTTAAAATTGATAGCATGTAATCCTTTCATGTAATGAACCAAATAGTTAATGTAGGAAAATTTCACGTATTTTAAGAATAATTGAGATAGACAGTTGTAATATAGCACGCTCCATCATCTCAGTTTGTGTATGTTTATGATCTCATCTAACTCCCATGTTCTTGCATATATATCAACTCGTTTAACTAACTAATATGCCTTACTATTATTAAAGTTTTTTGAAGTAACCTATTTAACGTCTTTGTTCTTTTCTGCTTCAATCTTTTCCTTGAATTCATCGTCGATCGGATTTAAGGAACTAACATTGATTCCTCGTTTATATTGTCCCAGTCATACAACAATCGAATTTCTCATGGTAAAGACCATGCCAACATATATTAGATATATTTGATGCTATAGTGATATTTTTCTGACTGTAAGGATTGGTTTTGAAGAGTTTTATGTTACCCTTACTCAATATAAGCTCTTTGAGTAGTGAATGTTTGATATCTTTTTCTACATTCTTTACCAAGAATGTGTTAAAATAAAAATCTCCCTTTTTGCTAAGCTCATCCTTTCACTTTATGTTAAACAATTAACGTTTAGTTGCAATATTTTACTAAAAATATCCTCATTTTTATATACGATGAAAATAAATCACCTGATAAAATAAATAACTTTCACAGTTAACTCTAAGAGTGCCTGAAAATATTTTCTTTGGTCTGCATTTGATTATTTATATTTTGATAATGATGATTAAGTTCAGACATGTTACACAGGTTAATGTTAGTTTTCTCATTGCCATATAAAAATGGTAATTCTCATTAATGTAACATTGAAATATGCTTCTTAGTTCTATTCACTTTAATATTTGTGCATTCTGATATTGTAAAATGTGATTTAATGAACAAAAGTTGTAGGATTCTAAACGTTATAGTGCTGGTGAATACGTGAAATAAATAGTTCATTAATTAATAGAGTCTATCACCTGTAAAGAAAAACGATGCAATATGCTAATTTTGTTTCTGATTTCTCGTAAACTTCAGTTTATATTTTCTTTTCCAGCTTTATATGTACCAACTTTTTCGAAGTTTGGCCTACATACATCATAAAGGCATTTGTCATCGGGATATAAAACCCCAAAATTTACTTTTAAATCCAGCTACAGCTGTTTTAAAATTATGCGATTTCGGAAGGTTAGTTTACTGTATATATATAAGATTTTATTTTCCTGTAGAATTTTGTGTAATTTTCTGACGAATTGACTTGGATGGAAGCTGTTTAGGGCCTATGATTCTTGTTAGCGGGACATGGACTGGATTAAAGCTTGTACCGTGCACGATTGCGTTGCTGTACGCTGATTGGCTAATTCTTATCCAATCAACACTAGTCGGTACTTGAAGAACACTCTAGAATCTTCTCATGTAAAAAACTATAAATATACTAACGTATTTCTTATTGCGCTTCTTACTTTCATGTACCCTTGTTATTTGAAATGTGATTTCATCCTGGTAAACTGTGTCCTGATTTCAGGACTTGTCGAGTGAATCGGTGTCCGAGATTGCTTAGCATTAGGAATAGCTGGGTCGTAATAAGAGAAATTTATAACAATTCTATCCAACAGTTCATTGAGAAAATATTGAGTAACCAATTTATTTATTTATTTAAACACATATATATTGGTACATATGCGCCACACATATTCATTTGTGTGTGGGCTGTGATACTGCCCGGGTGCCCAAACCGAAGCAGGTGGTTTTCTTAGGGGACCACACCCCGAGCCTTTGACCTAAAGGTCTGATCCACAAGGCAGTGGAGCATCGTGAGGAGATGCAGTCCCATGGTTGCCGTTAACCAATGACAGGTTCTTCCGCCATTCGTTCCATCAGGATACTGGAGCCCATGTGCACCATTGGTTTGGAATCAGGGTTTTCCAACTCCCCTAGGTGGACCCTCCGTGTCCACCAATCCGGTTAAAGCGCCAGGGCATTTGGGGGCATTGAGTAACCAATGTGTCATATAAACTTACCTGATGTATATTTAATATTTGTGTTCCTTTGTATGTATTACTACGTTATCTCAAATAATGCAGATCTCCGGTCATCTTGAAAAGTAAATGACTCATTCATGAGTGATGTATCCTGTACTGTTAAACAGGGATAATAAAACACTATGATGAAACCAAACTTTAAGTTGTACATCATAACTAGAAACATTGTTTTTTTATATCAGTGCATACTTAGTAAGTAAATTTATTTTCAAATTCCTTTTCAACTGAATTATATTGGGATGCATTAATTAAAAGATTAGATGACATGAAGCATTTGTGTTTACCATGTTCTCCGGTAAAATCAATGTCCTAATTTGTTGCATGCAGAGCATTTTCATCTCTTTCGTTAAAATTGATTCCTACTTTTTCATTTAAGGTTTGAAAATAACGTGTGTAACTTTTATCTATCATTCTATTTACAATACGTTTTCATAGAATTGACTACGCCATATTGAAGGTTTTTTACTTATTGATTTCATTCCAACTGCAATTAATTAATTATTTTATCTCTTTAGTGCGAAGGTTCTAGTTCGCGGCGAACCTAACGTTTCTTACATTTGTTCCCGTTATTACCGGGCTCCTGAATTGATATTTGGTGCTGTGGATTACACATGTCAGATTGGTAAGTACAATATTTTGCGGGAAGAATTTCGTTTTTAAATTTATCGGACCACCGGTTTTAAGCGGTCATTAAACAAGTGATTGAACTATGTAGAAGAGGTTATGTTCGTCAATGGCTAAGTAATACTTTATTCATAGCATTTCCTCATACTAGATATCTTCCGGAATTAGTGATGAAAACTAAACAGTATCAGAATCAATGAAGAAATTCAATTATTTGTAAAAAAAAATACAATTTAGGGAGAAATAAACACACTTGTAAACAAGCAGATTAAACTAAAGATAGCTCTGTTCATAACTTTGAATGCTTAGTCTAGAAGCCTAGTATTTTCTCAGCTTATTTCTATGAAGACACTTTGTTGAAAGAGGTAATAGACCACTTAATGTCTATCTCGTAAAAAGGAATTTAGAACAAAGATATAGCACCTCTATGCGTTTAGTTGGTGACATTATGTCCCCTAACACTTGGTCACCTGTTCACTAAAAATCGTGCACAATTTTTAGGAAGTAAATCACACGTTAGTATAAAACGAATTGCGAACCGGTTTAGCTAAGCTTCTTAAGGTTTGGCATTTTCAATTATGCCTTACGTGACGTACCCCATAATCATCTGGGATTATGTCTAATACCAGCTGCGTTTAAAATATTGAGGTTTGTTATAATATATGTATTATCGTTGTTTCTGTGAGTTGAACACGTATTGCACACGTCATCCTGACTGTTTCCATAGTGAGAACCACTTGGTATAATTGATATTTGTTTCAGTAATGAAATATTATTAATCTTCGTCTTCTTATTACATTATCGAAATGTTATTAACTTTGAAAAGCTGTGTTGACTTAGCTTTTATTGTCACAGCACAACTTTAACTTACTGTTAGGATGCCTGTTTCTGTAATTTTTTCCTGGACTGAAATTCTTAGTCGTCTTTTCGATTATAATTCATTTTTTTATGTCTACAGATGTTTGGTCAGCTGGCTGTGTACTTGCTGAACTTTTGTTAGGTCAGCCAATTTTTCCTGGAGAAAGTGGTGTAGACCAGCTTGTTGAAATTATCAAGGTTTTAGGTACTCCTTCCCGCGAACAAATTCACGAAATGAATCCTGACTATCGAGAATTTAAATTTCCACAGATTAAACCCCATCTCTGGTCAAAAGTAAGATATACTTTGTGGTTTTTTGCTAAGGATATTTTGATTTGTAATACAAATTTTTTGTTCTCAAACTGAATAATAGTTTTTAAGTTCCACATTTTTCTTGTCCCTTTGAGCAAGATTTTTTATCTATTGTCGAAGATAGAACAGAATAAACACTAAATGGATATTATTTTCCTGCTATCTACGTTGCCTCACACTTTACTATTATGAACTTAAGGTTATGACTGCAGCAATTATTTAAAATATTGACATAACCGTCTGTTTCATGTATTATCAGAGCTGATTTATGCTATGACGTTTGGGATATTCGTTTCTCTAAATCTAATTTTATCTCGAGAAGTAACCGATAGTTTCGCATCAAACCGAAATTAGGAATTTGATGTGTAAAATCTGCATTTGGACCCGAAACCAATTCTTTTAACTGTTTCAGTACAGTTACAGCAATGTATAGATTAGAAATTCTCTTAGCAATAAATGTAATGTGCTTGCATTCCCGTTAACTGAACGAGTCCAAAGATATTGTTCTGATTACTGAACAGGTGAAAACATTTGACAAGTTTTGGAAACGTGCGGGTATATAACTTTGGTGAAAGTTGTAGATGTTAAAGGTATGTTGTTTACCGAAACGAAGGATAGCCTTACTGTCAATCAGCTCTTACTGTTATAGGGAATTAAGATGTAGCCATTTCATATTTTATGATCGTTAATATTTATTCAGGACTGTATAATAATAATGGCAATAATAATATTATTATCATTATTATTATTATCACGAAAGTTTCTAAGTCTGAATATTCAGAGTTTATGATTCCATGGAAATTCTGATTGTCCAGCGAGAAAAAAGTACAACAGAGGTATCTCAAAACCTCAACGATCAACTTAAAACGATAATGAAATGGTAGATATTACTTACTGAAGTCTGTCACAACCTATGGGGCATAGATCACCGAATAGAGATCTTCAGCCAAGTTTATTTTCGGCACTACTTTCTAATTGTTGTCAAGAGGTCTTCATGGCCTTAATGTCTGACTCAAATTCCTGACCTATATGTCTTTGGTCTGCCTCTTCTCCATTAGCCTTGAAGTTCCAATTTATGTCTCGTTTGTGATGAAGTTCGATGGTTTAAACAATGTGTTCTATTGACCTCCAGTGTCTTTCCTTAGTTTCCTTCCAGGTCGAGAGCTGGCTTTTCTCTGTTACAGTAGGTTATTGCTGATTGTTTCTGGTCAATGAACCTAGAATATCTTTTGTAGACAGCTGTCTATGAATACTTGTACTTTTTGGTAATGTTTGTGGAAGTTCTCCAAATTTCAGCTCCATACAATGGCACTATCTTAAAGTTAGCGTTGGAATTTGTGACTTTGGTTTTTTCTGACAGTTGTTTTCAGTTACGAACATTCTTTGGTTGTAGAGATGTTGCCCTTCCTTCGCCAACTCGTCCCTTGATGTATACGTTAGATCCTCTGTGTTTATCATTGGTAGTGCCTAGATGCGTAAAGTTTTCTATCTCTTCAAGAACTTCACAGTCAAGTGTGGTCTTGTTGGGTCTCTCTGTGTTGCATTTTAGGATCTTGGTTTATCCATTGTGAATACCGAGGTCTACTGCTGCGGAAGCCGCGTCTATACTTTCAGTCTTCGTTCTGCATTTGTTGCTGTGTGTGCAATAGAAGAGCTAAGCCATCTACAGACCCCAAATCACCCAGCCGCGTCCGTCGTGTCTATTGTATTGCATGCTTCATCTAAGATGTGGAGATCTTCGTGACCAAAAGAAAGAAGAGGGGCAAGAGTAGGCAGTCTCATCTGACACTGATCAAGTCAGTGTGGTTTTGTTGGGTTTCTCCGTGTTGTATTTTAGAAACTTGGTTCATCCATTATGAATACTGAGGTGTAAAGCTGCTCGCTAATTGTCTTCGTCTGCATTTATCTCTTCGAGTGGAATAGAAGGGTTAAGCCACCTAAAATCCAAATAACTCAGCTTCGTCCATGATATCCACTGTATTATGTGTTTTTCCCGAACTGTGGACCTAGTAAGTAACCAAAGGGAGAAAAATCTAAAGTAGTCAGTCTTCACTTGAAATACATCTGTGGCTTGTCCTCCATTAGCGACTTTATAATTTAGTTCGTTGTAGAAGTTCCGTATCGTAGTGGCTATTTTTACAGGCGCTCCATATTATGAAGTTGGTCCCATTAGGTTTTCCTATCCATACTATTAAATGCTTTCATATAGTCAAGGAAATTGATGTATGGTGATGAATCTCATTCAATCGATTGTTCAACAATGATCCGTAATGTGTCGCGATTTGTTGGATACATAGTATATCCTTACGAATGCTGGCCTGTTGAGCGTCTACTGAATTTTTCATTTGCTTCAGCAATACTGTCATAAATGTTTTTTGATACTAGCATCAATGTGATGCCTCTATAGTTCTCAAACTTACTAAAATCTTATGATTATTGTCTTGATGCGGTATCTCTCTTACCAGTATTCCGGTTTAGATAGAACAGAGTTTCCACCTTGGGCAAGCTGCTGCATAAGTTGGAAAGTAAGGATATACAAATTGGGAATAAAAGGGGGTGAATAAGCGACATGGTAGATAATAATAATAATGATAATGTATATTGTCTGGCATTTAGTAGGAGCGTGAATAGGATTGTCGGTAGAAATCTTCATTTCATTTATTTGTGTGAGGGCTGTGATACTGCCCGGGTGTTCAGACCGAAACAAGTGATTTTTTTAGGGGGCCACACCCCTAGCCTTTGATCTAAAGGTCTAACCCACAAGGCAGTAGATCATCGTGAGGAGATGCAGTTCCATGGTAGCCGGTGACCAATAATTGGTTCATACGCCATTTGTTCCCTCAGTATCCTGGATCCCATATGCACCATTGGTTTGAAACCAGGGTTTTCCAGCTCCCGACCGTTGCTGCTACATTGACGTGGTGGTCGGCCTTGCCTATTTTGATGAATCAACCGAGCTATACTGGCTGGAACAATCGTTCCTCAAGGTCCTACCATGCCAGACAGGTCGGTTGAAGAGCGGTGAGACTAAAAGCAGCAAACCCAAGGTCCGAAGGCGAAGTCGTACTGCTGACTGTACAGAGGTGTGACAGCAGTAAGGTGTTTCCTTCAGACAACCAGTATGACATCGATGCTGCCTTCCCACAAAGAGGAGTGGGCTTAGAAAAGGTCGACCCTAAAAATGCACACCTCGCCTTATCCCACAGATATTCGTCTCCGACGGTAAGGTCCTTTGAAGAACGGAGCTAACACAAAAACTACCCACAAAAAGGCCGTGTGTGACTGACCTCAAGCAGTTGTCCCTTGGGCACTGCGGTCACGCTCTCAGGTCATTAAGATCACTTCTAACCCAATTTCCTTTTCAGGTACCTCTAGAAGAACCCTTCAACGGTGTGGGCAACCGGGAAGTGATAACTGCCCTCATACCTCTGACAGCACTCAAGACCACCGTATTCATAATCAATCTCCTTCTTCACTTCCTACTATTCCTTCTACCTTGACTTTCAACACTAAACTTCCTCTCTCGGTTTCCTCCTCAAGTGTCACCATGGCCAACGATTCTAGTGCGCGAAACGCTGTCCCAGGTCTACTAAAACCTCGCTCCAAACTACACATTGAAGCCTTCAACGTACGTACCCTATGCCAAATCGGTCAACAGGCCTCCTTAGCTAAAACCCTAGAATCTCGTACCATTGATGTATGCTGTGTCTCCGAAACACTCATACAGGATCCCAGTGTGGTCAGTCACTTGACCTCACCTCGCCAAAATGGACAGCCAACGAAATACACCCTCCGTGTATCTGGCGACCCGTTGGCTAGTTCTCGTGGACTTGCAGGCGTAGGCATAGCACTAAGTACAAGGGCAGAACAGGCACTACTAGAATGGATCCCCGTTTATAGTCGCCTGTGTGCTGTCCGGCTGAATGGCTCCGTAAGAACTCGGAAGGATGGGGACACACGTCGTTGCCTTTTCGTCGTTTCTGCCTACGCTCCCACCGACTGCAGCCATGATGAAATGAAAGATGACTTTTACAGAAAGCTCTCTGAGCTTCTTCAGAAAGCTAAGCGCTCAGACATAGTAGTCGTAGCGGGTGACTTTAATGCCCAGGTAGGCAGCTTGAATCAAACAGAAAGACATTTAGGTGGGTGTTTTAGTATTCCGGCTCAACGAACCGATAATGGTGATCGTCTGTTGCAACTATGCTCAGACAATCGTTTATTTTTAGCAAGCACTAATTTTAAACATAAGGAGAGACATCGTCTAATATGGCGACCACCTTCACCAAACCAACGATGGACTCAAATTAACCATATTGTCATCAGTCATCGTTGGAGAGGCTCGATAGAAGATTGTCGCTCGTATTGGAATACTTGTTTAGACTCTGATCACGCTTTAATACGAGCGCGCATTTGTCTGCGCCTCAATGGACGCGGGAAAAGTACATTAAGAAGACCCATTAGGATTGAACTGGAGGACGAGAAAGCCAAATGCGAATTCCAGAAACAACTGAGTTCACATCTAGGCAGTTCTGTAAACAAGACAGACACAGATGCTGCTTGGAAAGACATACGAACAGCTGTGGAAACAGCAGTAACATCTATTAGTCATTTAAACCATAGGGTTCCAAAAAACCAGTAGATTTCCTTTAAGTCTATTTCACTGATGGATTCGCGTAAACTCATCCCATCAGGCTCTGAACATGACGAAGAGCGTAAACAAATTAAATCTAGGTTAACTAAAAGTCTAAGGAACGATCGTGAGCAGTGGTGGGCAACGAAAGCAACAGAGATGGAAAAGGCAGTGGCTGTAGTCAACACCAGGCAACTATTCAGACTAATAAAAGAAATCGGAATTAAGAAGTCAAGTGTGAGACAATCTCGGAAAAAGACGGAACCCTTATCTGCTCTCAACTCAAACGTTTAGAACGATGGACGGAACACTTTAAGGAGCAGTTTAGCTGGCCTTCAGCTACTGCGCAACTACCCACTATTCCCAGAAAACTTGAATGGAACATTGAAGTAGGCCCCCCAACCCTACTTGAAGTTCAAAAGACTATAAGTAATCTAAAACGAGAAAGAGCAGCTGGTCCAGATGGATTGGCTCCAGAGGTCTTTAAATATGGTGGTCCGATTTTAGCGATAAGGTTGACTAATATTCTGGCTAAAATCTGGAAGTCGGACGTAATCCCATCTGACTGGTCACAATCACTGATTGTCCCAATATCTAAGAAAGGGCTAAAATCATCCTGTGATAACCATAGAGGGATTAGTCTGACTAACATAGCATCTAAAATACTAGCCTCAATAATTATCAGGTGCCTAACTAGGACTCGTGAACTGCAAACACGAGAAAATCAGGCTGGCTTCAGACCTGGCCGTGGCTGTGTCGACCACATATTCACCATTCGTCAAGTTTTAGAGCACAGACACGCTTATCGGCGTCCGACAATTATAGTTTTTCTTGACTTGAAAGCAGCATTTGACTCTGTAGACCGAGAGGTTCTGTGACAGTGTCTGTCATTGAAAGGTGTACCTGAGAAATACATAAACCTTGTGAAGGCTCTTTACTCGAACACTACCGGTCGAGTGAGAGCTTATGGCGAAATGTCATATGATTTTACAACCTCAAGTGGTGTCCGTCAAGGCTGTCCACTATCCCCATTTTTGTTTAACTTCATTATAGACCTGTTGCTGGGAATAACACCCTTTTCGACTGAATTTTCAGGAATTGATCCCCTACCAGGGGGACCACTAAGCTACTTAGAATACGCAGATGACATAGTCCTGTTTGGTGAAGACGTTGACAAAATGCAGAGTCTTCTGTTGGAACTCAGTAATAATGCCAGGATGTTTGGGACGCATTTCTCCCTATCTAAATGTAAATTGTTACTCCAGGACTAGCCTGCGTCAACACCCGAACTAAGGATAGGGAGTGAAGTAGTCGAATGCGTGGACAACTTCAATTATCTTGGAAGTCAGATCAGTCCTAATGGGTTGGTGTCTGACGAAATCTCTTTAATGTGCTCTAGATAGTAGATGTCGCTTTTCAATAATTATAAATATATGCTGCCCGACCGTTGCTGCTACCTTGACGTGGTGTTCGGGCTTGCCTATCGTGATGAAGCAATCGAGCTATGCTGGCTGGAATATATATATATCTACGGCCGAGAGTGGAGGGAGTCTGCTCTCCCTCTCGAAATGCTCTCATATGGACACGCGAATATATAGCCTCTGCCAGGGAAGTCCTACTCACTGCCTTCTCGTGGCGGGGGTGTTGTTCACAAAAGTGAGAGGACGAAAAGCGAATGTCCGGCGCTTTAACCGGGTTGGTGGATGTGGAGGATCCACCTAGGGGAGTTGAAAAACCCTGATTCCAAACCAATGGTGCACATGGGCTCCAGTACCTTGAAGGATCGAATGGCGTGGAATGACATTCGAAAAGCTGTGAAAACAGCAGTGATATCCGCTAGTAAGTTAAGCCATAAGGTCAGGGAGAAACAATGGATCTCAACAGCATTTACCGCACTGATAGACGCTCGAAAACTCATCCCTCCTGGCTCTGAACATAACGAAGAGCGGAGTCAGCTTAAGCGAAGGCTAATAAGAAACCTACGCAATGATCGTGAACAGTGGTGGGTAGCGAAAGCAAGAGAGATGGAAAAGGCAGTGGCAATAGGTAACAGCAGACAACTATTCAGACTTATTAAAGAAACCGGCATTAGGAACCCAACTATTAGCGAAACTATCTCAGACAAAGATGGGCATATCATTCATTCTCAATCTAGGAGATTGGATCGATGGGCATAACACTTTAGGATTCAGTTCAACTGGCCTTCAGCCACACTTCAGTTACCCACGATCCCCAGTCGTCCTGAATAGCGAATTGAGGTAAGTCCTCCAACTCTCTACGAGGTTGAAAAAGCTATAGGAAATCTGAAGCGAGGGAGAGCAGCAGGCCCTGACAGGTTTACCCCAGAGATTTTTAAGGATGGTGGTCCAGTACTAGCAGCGAGATTGACTGAGGTCTTAGGTAAAATCTGGGAACTGGACGTAATTCCATCTGACTGGTCCCAATCACTAATTGTGCCAGTCTATAAGAAAGGACAAAAGTCCTCCTGTTATAATCACAGAGGAATCAGTTTGACTAATATAGTGTTTAAAATATTAGCTTCAATAATACTTGGACACCTAACGAAAGCTCGTGAAGAGCAGACTAGAGAAAACCAGGTTGGTTTTCGACCTGGACGTGGTTGTATAGACCAGATATTCACTCTACGTCAGGTCCTAGAACATAGACGTACATTCAGACGTCCCACAATAGTAGTATTTCTTGACCTTAAGGCGGCATTTGACTCCGTTGATCGTGATGTTCTATGTCAGTGTTTGTCACTGAAAGGAGTACCAAAGAAGTACATTAACCTCATAAAGGCTCTCTACTCGAACACAACTGGTCGAGTTAGAGCCTATGGCGAACTGTCATCAGAATTGGTTACCTCAAGTGGTGTTCGTCAGGGCTGTCCACTCTCCCCATTCCTGTTTAACTTTGTCGTCGACATGCTTTTGGAGATAACACTTTCATCATCTCAATCTTCAGGAGTTGAACTTTTACCAGGAGGCTCACTTATTGACTTAGAATACGCCGATGACATAGTTTTATTCGATGAAGACTCTGACAACATGCAGAGTCTTCTGACCACTATAGTAACAATGCAGGCATGTTCGGGATGCTATTCTGTCCTTCGAAGTGCAAAATGTTACTTCAGGATTGGGTTGCATCGACACCTGAACTAATGATAGAGAGTGAAGTAGTTGAGCGTGCTTCACTTATCTTGGGAGTCTCATCAGCCCTTGTTGTCGGGTTTGTGACGAAACCTCAGCACGGATACAGAAGGCTCGTCTAGCAACAAAAGGACGGGTTTACTGTGCAGCACTCCGTTCCGTCCTACTTTATGGCAGTGAAACATGGCCCATAAGAGTAGAGGATATTCGTAGGCTACTAGTATTCGATCATAGGTGTCTTCGAAGCATTGCTCGTATAACCTGGGACCACCGAGTAAGTATAGCACTTGTTAGGAAACGGGTACTGGGTAAGGATGACAAATGGATTGATAAAGTACTGAAACTTCATCAGTTGAGATGGCTGGGACACGTGTTACGTATGGTCGACCACAGACTGCCCCGACGTGCAATGTTTTATGGTGTAGGAGTAGTTTGGAAGAAAGCTAGGGGCGTCCAGACCAAAACGTTGCATAAATCCATGAAGTCACTGACAAGTGGACTAGGCCGTGTTGGTAGGTGTAGACTACCTGTTTGGGATTCACGAGATGTTAGCAACCGATGGTTAGAGACCTTGAATGACATGTCTCAAAATCGTTTGCAATGGCGAAGGTGTATCTACTCTTTGTGTTTTCCCAAATTCTAATCTTCTGAATTATTTGTGTCCTTTTCCTTTTTCTCTTTCCAAATTTATTTCACTGTATTATATTCCCTCCATAACATCTTCAAACCCTTATCTTTGACATAATACTTATACTCTTACTATTTCTACCACTATGGGATTTGAATCGACAACTTCATCTCTGTGCTAATGTGGTATGGCAACTCGAACTGATGTACGTACGTACGAAGTTCTACGTTGTAACTGACTGACTGACTGAAATATATGCTAACATGAAAAAACGTTGTCGATTAAAAGGTTAGCAATTATCAGCTTCATGTCTTGTAGTTATTAAGGAAATCTCTAATCGATTAAAGCCAGTGGAACAAAGAGAAAATTTTTGAATTGAAACAAATCTGTTATGACCTGTAGGCCTGCTAGTATTTCACGTGACTAAATCGCCAATTAGAAACATCGACTCATATGACTTTGACGCTGCGCCAAAGCAATTAAGCGTTAATCAGTACTGGCAGTCTAGAGTTAGCTGTACGTTCTCATTGATCCTCTGAGATAATATATTTTTACCTTTCCCAACCGCTTTAATTTAGAACGCTAATATCAGCCTCCACTATATGAATCGTGTGTTTCAGACATACGCAGTTTATATACAAGCAAATCAGACCTCATCATACCATAAAATAGTAAATTATAAGTATACAAGATCAAGCTTAATGTGGACGTGAGTGTGGCATACTGTGACTGATATATATAGTTCATAAATAAATCCTAGTAGTTACCATTCGCTTAAGGTCTAATTCCTAAACTTTTGCCATATATTTAACGTCGGTCTGTAAAAAGCATGGGACCTTCAGTTTTACAAATGCCGACTGTCGTAAAATGATCAATCATTTATTGCTTAATTAGGTGAATACTAGTATTTCAAATTCGTTAGAAATATAGTGGAGTTGACTGGTTTTCAACGAAGCTTTTTATTACCAGTAAACAAAAGAGTAGGATGAGATGTTTTGTCATGAAACTTACGGATTTACTTGTTATATTATTTTTTATAAACACCATTTATACAGATACACTCGATAAAACGCATGATATAATTAGGTTCATAATATTGTCAAAATATTTGTCTCGATTTTGCGCATTCACCTTTTTTTAAAACTTTTCCTTAGGTTTTTCGTCCTCGTGTTCCATCAGAAGCGATTCAGTTGGTGTCACAGCTACTCGACTACACACCCTCAAAACGATTAGAACCGTTAGATGCTTGTTTACACTGCTTTTTTGATGAGTTAAGACAAGAAGGAACTAGACTTCCCAATGACAGACCTCTACCTCCATTATTTAATTTGACACCATACGGTGAGTATTTGAACTTCACTATTATTATTATTATTGATTAGTTGTGTAATGCTGCAATGTATTTGTCTGTTCTTTACGGATAAAAATTGATTATCTGCTGTCAGGCTACATTGCAGCATCGATAATGTGTTGATGTAAGTTAAAACACTAAACGTTTGAACTGTTTTAGATCGTACAAACATTATGCTTGTTTTAGATGAAGTCACTATTTTGTGTATCTATACTGTTGACTATCAAATGGTGTTGCTATGTTGACATCTGAATGTCCTCTTCATATATTCTATTTTTCACATAATTCTTACGCTATAATAAAGCGTGTATAAAAATGTTGGTGTGTATACCGATTTTTGATTGCTTATTTCTATTCTATTTCTCTCTCTCTCCATTTCGATACTTGCAAATTGTATTTTCAATATCAATAAAGTTTTGAGGTACAAATTTAATATTCGCATAAAATTGATTTTTATTAATTTCGTATTTACTGTTCTGTATAGTGGTGTGTAATTCAACAGAATAATTTGTTACCTATAATTTAAACTCCGCTTGTAGCTCTCCTAGGGTTACTGCCAGTCCCAACCTCGGGTAAGGAAGGAGGGTTGGGTATGAAGTCAGCAACCGCATCCCTTGGGAAAAAAACATTTGTAAAAAACGCTAACTATAATCAACAAAGTAAACCATTTAATCTCTGCCCTGTAAAAGCCAAAATTCTTTGGAAGTCACAAAGCTGATGCCCCTCCTAAAAACCAGAGCAACAATTTTTAAGGGTAAATGGAATGTCCTAATGTTATTAGGTTTCAAAAACTCCTGAACAGTTTCTTTTTATTCTAAAAGCCCCCAAAAGCCTTGGTATGGCCGAGGGTGGGGAGGGTCAATCCTCCCTCTCGAAATGTTGTCACATGACCACGTGTATATAGCCACTTCTAAAAAAGTCCTACTCAGTGCCTTCTCGTGGCACTACTGTTGTTTACGAAATTGAGAGGACGAAAAGCGAGTGTCCGGAGCCATAATCAGGTTGATGGACACGGAAAGTTCACCTAGGGTAGTTGGGAAACCCTGATTCCAAACCAATGGTGCACATGGGATTCAGGATACTGAGGGAACAAATGGCGTATGAATCAATCGTTGGTCACCGGCTACCATGGGACTACATCTCCTGAAGTTGCTCTACTGCCTTGTGGATTAAACCTTTAGGTCAAAGGCTCGTGGTGTGGCCCCCAAAGAAAATCACTTGTTTCGGTCTGGGCACCCGGGCAGTACTCCAACCCTCACACACACCGAATGATTTGTTGAGCGAATATGTATTCGGTACAACTTTGTACCTATATATATGTCTTCAAAGAAATAAATAAATAAATTGAATGTCAGGATAATGTGAGAGACCGGGAGAACCAGACAAATAGTTATGGAAATGAGGAGATACAAATTGACGGTACTCGGAATCAGTGAAACCTATTGGATCCAAGCTGGACAGAAAAGGTTAGATTCAGGGGGGACGCTTTTGCACCCAGTTTACGAAGAGGGAAATGCCTCACGCACATAAGGAGTCGCACTGTCGCTCTCCAAAGAAGCACGAATAACACTTGAAGGATGGGAATCGCATGGATCCAGGATCACTAAAGCATCTTTCAAAACATAGAAGAAAGGAATCACAATATATGTTATCCAATGTTGTGCACCCACCGATGACAGCAATGAGGACGATAAAGATTAGTTTTACGAGAGGTTGCAATCGATCATAGTGAAGTTCCCAAGAAAGGAACTGATCATCCTGATGGGAGATCTGAACGCCAAAGTCGGGATGGACAACACAGGGTATGAAGATATCATGGAACGACATGGACTGACTAGAAGAAATGAACGGGAATGGCAAGAGACTTTTTTATTTTTATGTGTAAATTTATGTGTATTCAACAAAATGGTTTTAGGTTAAACAATATTCTCCCACAAACGCATACAAAAAGCTACATGGGTCTTACTGGATCACACTACAGAGAACTAGATCGATCATATGTACGTTGTATGGAGAATGCTTGTGGGAGGCTTATGATTCTCCATGACGGGTAAGAGGCCTAGATAAGTAGGTATAATTTAAATATATGAAATTGGCTAATAAAATTATTATATCATTTTAACATCACTTGTTCTTAACTTAAAACATATTATCTATGATATATTTTCCAACTATCAGCATTGCGTACTTTTTTTAAAAGGAATTATCGATTTCAAATAAAAAAATACTAATTTGGTGAATTTGTCAGCCAGTTGTAGTAACCAAGATTGCTTAGAATTGCTATAATACCCTCTTAATTGAAATAATCCTTCTCCTATAGTATGATTCTCTTGATATTTCCATTAATTTCATTTTTATACTTTTAGAAATGACTATGCGAGATGATATGTACAAATTTCTCCCACCTTCTCGAACATCCGGGGGAGGTGGGGTATCAGAGTCAAGTTTACCACCTACTTCAGATCTTTCAATGGTAGAACAACCGCAACCGCATCATATAACAGATACTGTATGTATTGATCGCACAGGACAAAATCACAATCCCTCTACATCGGAAGGGAGTAAATTATCGGATTCAGAAATTCGATTAGCGGTTATTGCTCCATCTCATAGTTCGGATAACATACGTCTCACATCAAATAACAGTAACAACAATGATAATAGCAGCAATATTGATATACCTCAACAATTGAAAGATTCCTGCCATGAAGAGTTAGAATCCAGAAATATTCAAGGTGTCAATAGTTAAACATAATTATCACATTTTGTCCATCTATAAAATCTATTCACCATATTTGTCCTACAGTGACATTTGTTAAATTTCAAAATTCACTATCACGAAACAAGGATGAAAAACCATTCGACTCAGGTTTCTCGTCCTGTTTATTCCTCCTGAGACAAGTACTAATTATATACATGTACAAATGTTTAACAACAAAATAATATCTCTTAAGATAAATGTAGCTCCTCCCTGTAGATGACAATCATCATAACACAGAATTATAGTGACAAAGTAATTTATTTTATTCCTATTTTATGATTTCACTTTTGTACAAACATACTTTCACATTCACAACTTAATAATCATTTCTCGTGTAATTTCCATCACATTCACTCGCTTTCAATCACTTTAATTAACAATATCTATATATTTTGTGTGTATGTTTTTTGTTTATTCATGTATGTTATATTTAATGTTGAAGTTTGTTTATTTTCAACACTGGCACTTTGTTTTTTCTATCATTTTTCTCTATCTTACTTTGTTTTTTCTGCCTAAATGTAACATTGTCATTTGAAAAGTAAATGAGTAGTTGTTCACACAAAAAACCTCTGGTCACTACTCTTTCTATCGTTTTCTAACTGTTTCTGTTTTTTAAGTGATAATCAAGGAAATTATTTGTTTATTAAATAATACACTACAACACTTAAGAATTTGTTTTCTAAGTTTATATCAACTGTAATGCTTCTTTCCTTCGTAGTGTTTTGTTAACATTCTTTTACATTACAATGATCTTCATTGTAACTACAGTTTATCATTCCTATTAATAATACTGCATGCGGCGCCCGATATATATATATATATATATCGGTTACAAAACAAACATTTTTCTTTCACATACTACGGCATTTTTCTCGTCACTGCTCTCCTGTTGGTTCGTCTTTCATATCATATCATATACAAATACATATATATGCCATTATAGATTATAATTATAGACAAGTATACCAATTTACGATCATGATGTTGAATAGAATATTTGAACACTTTTCTTTCCGTACATACCATTTTCTCTTTTTTTCAATGACTTGAATGAATATATCTGTTCTTTAGAAATTTAATCAGTAGATAGGCAGGGTGCAAAAATATATGGACTAGTCACATTACAAATAATATTCTGTGTAAGGATTTTTATCTGAGGAAAACATTTTCTATAGTTAAATGAACCACTGAGTTACAGATTGACACGTTGTGATTTCATATTCACTGATCTCTATTTCTATGTAATGCGCACCTTAATTAGTTATGTGGCAGAAACATGTGTTTATCTATATACACGCTCGTACCTACGTTGTATTCTGTCATACCTATATGAACAGTTTTTAATTTTCTGTGCGTGGCTATTGTAATATACTGATCAATATAATATACATATGTAGTACAACTTGTGTTCTTTTTTATCATTCATGTGTAGTCATCATCTTATTTTCGATTCACCTACGTATAACTATTAAACCTAGTTCTGTCCAAAATTTAAGCAGTTATAAATTACATTATAATATCGATCCCTTCCCATATCTAAATAATTACACGAAACATATTATATATTGTATCATTATGATAACTGTCACTCAGTTTGTTCAAGAAAAGCAAAAATGAAAGAAATTAAATAAAGAATTTTTAAACGATGTCAATTTTGTGCTTTTGCTGTGCTATATTTCTTTTTGTATTTCATACACAATAAACAGTAAGTATTGGTCTAGCTGTATAGTATTTTTAATTTTAAAAAGTCGAACGACCTAGTCTTCAGACTTTTTCACTGTTTATTAATATAGTGAATAGTTATACATGAATATCGATTAGGATGATGTGAAATAATCGATCTTAATTACTCGAGTATAGGTTGATACCTTCGTTTTGTAATTAAACTTATAAAGTAAATAGTTATTGTCAAACACCACAAATTATATTTACTTGGTTCTTGGTGAATTCATGAAATTATATGGAGTTTTATTCACTTTTGGTTTTTTCCCCAAGTTATCATTATTACTATTGCAAGCAGCAACCACTTTATGGTTCATTTGTACAGATAACATCATATAAGACGTCTGACACATTACGTACATGAACGTAGTAACTACGTTTTTATAAGCGGAATACTATGTTATCTTATCATACGCAAAATATTTCGACTGGTTGTAAGAAAACCTATGCCCTGTAGTAGCTTTTTTGAACTTCTACACATTTATAGTCATCATTACTCATAATACTATCCAGTTCTAAGTTAATGTACTGAAGGTCCCACTCTTGTCATTTAAAGACTACAATTCTGTCTTTATTTGAATAAACCAATTAATTGGCAGTTAGTTTACCGCATAAATAGGTACACCAAATATCACTTCACTATGGTGTGATGTATTGGTTTCTGTTACCCTATTCATATGTGGCAATTTTTCAGGTTGACATCTCTCTTGTCATGCTTTTTCTTACTAAATGACTATTTTTTGTTCAGGTGTTTTACAAGTGTTCAGCTTACATCTTTAGGTATCGTTGGTTTACTCGAAAATCTATTTTCCCAATTAGTTATCTTCATAAGTAGCCCTCAATATTTAATGCATTTCCTGACAGTTTCTCAAGTTTCATCGAAAACCTCAGTACTTACGTTTTCACACAAAAATGCTTATATCAAGTAATATATAGGATTATTTCAAGGAGATGCGTATTCCCGAATTTGTGTGTAAATTGATTCAGTCTTACATGGTATATTCAGCTGCCAAAGTATTGAATAGTGACCCGAGCTGTAAGCTTAGTATAATTAGTCAAGAAACGTTGCTCAAAAAATACTTGTGTACGTAGCCTTGAAAAGTTTGGTGAACAAGTGTTTTCATATTATAGTATATGACCTTACTGTTCACTTATATGTGTGTACTAGTGAACAGCTGATTTTGGATTACTAGCTGTAAGGCCTCATCAAATGTTTGTCGTAGAGACGTAACCAACCAATCCAGGTTCATATTCCCTGTGATTCTCTATGAAATTTATGCATTTACTGGAATAATTCGTAATAAATATTCGTTTTTATGATTAAACTTATCTACATATTTTTGTTGTACCCACTTATTGCTTTGGAAATTGCGGAAGCATTAATAATTTGCAGAATGAAAACTAGATTTGTTTATACGAAAATAGTTTGCGAGATTTCTTTCTTTGTTACGCCCACTAGTTTTTTTGTTATATATTTACGTTGTTTTGTAGGTTTTATATTTTCACCTTCAAGTTACAGGCAACCTTATCATTACATCTGAATATATTCGAATAAAATTTGCTTATTTCATTCATTTTATCATTATTATTATAACTTGATATCACCTGAATCCATTTCTCTTTCGCAACGATTTTCATGTAGCTACGTGAAAAATTACATCGAAACTTTTAGTTTTGTAACTTTGTTTTTGACCTTTAGCTTGTTATATTTCCTGTAGTTTTCAGTCAATCTGATGATTCATTTATTTATTAACAATTAATAGTTATTACGTATTACACTCCACAATTTCCACTCTTTTTATATATTCTTATGTAAATAATAGTTCATTGTATCAACTATGTCATATGAATACAATAGTACATACAGCTTTAAATCATGAAATCTTTTAAGGAAACAAAGGGTTTTTCTGAAAATATTCATTGTACTATTATATTTTTTATAAGTGCTTATGTTTTATTGATGCACAGGCTAGGAGCTACCTAAACTCAATAGTTCAGTTAAAGTTACGAGTCCCGGTGTGAATATCAACACTGGACTGCAGATATATATAATTGACTAGTTTCAAATTCATCTCTTAGGTTCGACTACTAACCACTGTTCAGCTTTGTTATTCTACTTATTAACTTGAGTTACTTATTTTGACTTGCCGTTTTTTGTGGAAGCGAAGTGAATCATACCCACAAGTATGAAAATACTGTTAATAATTCCATTCATTAAAACATATATTGATCGAAAGGTTTTTATAGAATGCGTTTGAATGTAAAAAATTAAAAATAATAGGATTATATATATAGTATGGATGAATACACAGTTACCTACCATTTTGGACTGCCTATCGGGATTCTGTTCATGCGTTGCTTCGACCTAAACATACCCCAGGTTTTAGAAGCCAGCATATCCATCTTCCTGAACAGATTAATTCGAGGAAATTCTCTGAAAATTTCCTTGCAACCAAATATCGAATAAAAGGTGAAAATGATCACATGCTGTACTTGTATGTCGTCATGAAAATGGGGAAGAAAACAACTTTCAGTTTTGTTAAACTTCCTGCCGATTGTCAGTGTGTTTTCTATGCAGACTCCGTACAGCTCGATGCACATAAGCTTTCTACAGTGATTCATGAGCTCGAAGATTCATGTATATCCTCAACTCAGAAAATTCGACAAAGGTTTAATAAGAACCGGGAAATCTGGTATCAGTGCTGTGAATCACCAGCTTGATCTTGTAGCCACCAGAAGCGTTTTCAACTCATTTGAGTGCCAAAACTGTTGTTAGTGAAATAATGTGTAAAATTGATGACACTCCAACTTATAAATTTCAGGCGCTTTTTAGACTCTTGGGAGAGAACATTGATGCGCTTGTTACTTGCTAACACTGGTACTGACTGGAAAAAGCTGGGGGGTAGGCAGTTTATGACAAAATAATTTTCTATAATAATAGATCTGCGAGTCAAATCGTATTACTAATATTTGGTTTGTTATAACAAGATCATGAAGTAATTGACTGTTCGACTGACCAGTTTAGGTAGGTGCATCTTACCTGGTTGGGGTCTTTGCGATTATTGTAACAATCGCTTGGAGACGTTAGATGGCATGCCATACACTAATCTAATGAATAATTAGCATAAATTCTTATTCTGACCAAGCAAAATGCTTTTTTAACACCTTGTATCAGATAATTGTTTACAATCTCATTCATTGTCATTTTACTAATATAACATCTGTTACTCGGGCCCTTGGTTTTCTAATAACTAGGATTTCAAATAAAATTAATGTGTAGTAGGTAAAAGGTCTTTTATTTGTAACTCAATGAAAACTGAGTGTATTTCAATTATTCATATTTATTTTGACTTGCTTATCAAGTTCGCCACTTGTGCCTTTCCGAAACACCTTTACTTCTCAATATCTCTAAACCGAGTGGTCCTCTTGATACAGGTTAAATGTTTGACCAACTGTTGAATTTTTTCCGGCCTAGGCTAGAAAAATTATTATGTAGTTTCTAATTATGTAAGAAAAATCCATTTTTTTGTATAGAAATTTGATTTGTATTCTTGTTTATTAGTTATCCGAGTTGTAGAATAACAAGATCACATGATCAGCTTGTAATATCCAATAAAAACAAACTTTTACTATTCAGCACTAAGTTATAGAAATTGTTGAACAGACCAGCTTTGAAAACCTCCTAATATGAGACTCAGCACTGAGCATCCATAACTCCTCACACGCAACCGCTTAACCTCCAAACCACTTAGCCGGTGTTTAACAGCTGTATTAATTAACTCCAGTCAATTCACGACATTCGGCGACCATCGTCCATTGTCTTCGATGGGTTACTGTCTCATACTCGAAACACACATGGAATGAAGTACATTTAATAGTCACTTTTATCTGTATATAAGCTCGTCAAAATATTGTTTCATTTTAAGTAGCTTTGAAGTCTTTTACAGGCATTTGAAGGTCTCTATACTCTTCAACATCCTAATCCACCTAACTATGCTGTCCAAATACTCAAAACAAACGTGGTGTGAAAAATAATAGCTTGTTTAACAATGATTTTGTTCAAATATATTAAAATTACCTATGAGAGCGGGGTAAATACAGCAAGTTAAGAGAGTAATGAATGAATAATATTAAACGATGTTTGACCGAAACAATAATGAATATCGTATATTACGTGGAAATTTGACAGGAAAACACATTCATTCAAAGTTGCAAGTGAATGAATAATACTAATAGTTTTAGTGATCAAAACATCTTTAAGAAAATCATACTGTTGAATATTAAATACTGCGATATTAAAAGAGGTCATTAACGCTTAGCTAGTGATCCTTCACTGGTATGATAGTAAATTACAAAATTTAAAAAACTTCCTATTATTTTTTCCAGTGTTCATTTTGAAAAAAAAACTGTCAGTTATTGATTTCGCAATACTCTGTTTCACGTGTAACAAATTTAATAAAAATGTATAATAACCTAATTTTCTATTTAAAGAAGGAAATCAAAGAATCTATATTTCATTGTATTCAATGATTTTTGTTTGTATATTGCTAATTCATACAAAAAAAAATACTTATTGAAGCTGTACACAATCACTACTACTGATTGTTTAAACGTTATTTCTAAAAAAAAGTATTTTTGGGGTATTTGAAAAACTAGTTTTTTGTGACTCAACATCAAATCGATAGTTTTTTTTATAGGTGTAATATAGTTTCTACAATAAAAAGGACATGACATCAATATGATTTTAATTTTTGTCATAATATATAAAACATAACTTTTTATAAAAAGCAGTACACAATTGTATAATTAAGAAAAAAATTAAAATAAAATGACTGTACTCTCAATGATTCTTAATTCCATTGAATATACTTCTTCGGAATTTATTATGAAGAGCTTTTAGGATGGGAAATATGTACAGAAAGCTAAATTGGAACTAGTTATTCGTTAAGGAACTTATATCAACTAGGGAACATTGAAAACAAGCATGAGGTACTATTGTTTGAATAAATTGATTTCACTAGTTCAGAATTTGGACTCTAGCTATATTAGTCAATAATGTATAAAATAGAAAATTTCTCAGTAGCAAACTTAGCCATAGAGATATATGTGGTGAAAAATTGACATTTTAGTTACAATCATGTGAAGTAAAATGACTGACAACAATTTTCATAGATAAACATAAAATTATTGACTAATGATAAAGATTTCAAAGGAAAAAAAGTTGCTGTTCGTACAATTATTTATTGAATACAAATCATAATCTGTTTATATATATGGAGAGCTTTATATATATATATATATATATATATATATATATATATATATATATATGGTGATAAATTGTTGAAATGCATTATTCTCCTTCACATGGATCAGTTGAAGATGTCGATGCAGAAGAAAAATTGCGTTGAGCTTGTAGACGCCTACTTCTTCTTCGTGTTGTGACGTAATTATCATGATTGACATCAGTAATATTCAATGTCTGCATATCATTAACCATCATTTCCGTTGCATCACTATCATCCGATGAATCATTTTCAACAGTCTTTGTCAACACCTTTGGAACTACATCCATTTCATCATTATCCGATTTCATTTGTACAGATTGTTTTGTGGAAATGTTCGATGAAGTTCTTGCTTTACGTTGATTTCTTTTAACTGAATTTCTGATCAATGAATTCACTGGTCTACTAAGAACAATATCTTGTGATTTTGAAGTTAAATAAATGGAGTCTTTTCCCGTTGGTTTTCGATTTAATAGAATATCGAAGCTTTGACAATATAATTGTTCCACACATATAAATTGTATAAAACCTATACTACTGGCTACGGCGATCCATGTTGCACTCGTTGGACTCGGATTGAAACGAACCTGTAAGGAAGATCAAGTAATAATCAAAAGTTTGATGGCCATATCAGATGATTACCTGATTTAGGGAAGCTTTATAAATAATAGGTTTACTTTTTACTTGAAATTATCTTGTGCACATAAATATTATCACAAATCTGTTTGGATGCTATTGGTTACAACGCAGCGAAAACCGTATGAGTATTTGACTGAATATGATTTTGATTATGTTTTACAAACACCTAGATAACATTTATCAAACAGATAATATTAATATTCTCCGGTGGTAAGCTTGGAACAAATAATGAAGGGAAAACCTCCTTGGTTTGGTATATCTCACGGCTTATCAGTCATTCTTCCAGACTAAGAATCAGAATATAAACTATGGATTATTTCGAGTATTTATATTTTTTTATAAGTTGTTTTCCTTTTCTTAATGTGTACATCACATATACCAAACTCAAAACATGTAAGCACTTATGTGTTATTTGTCAAAAAACCATTATTTGTACACGATATTACAGTGTATTTTAAAAAGTCAACTGGAAAACCAGTGACTTAAATGAGAAAGAACTATTTGTGAAATAATTGACGAGTACAAATCAAAACCATTTTATGAGCGATTCAAGTTACACGATGATTGGTAAAGCTGCGGATGAAATCGATGATATGACTGGAAAAAGCACTACAGTGTCATAAATGTTTTTACAGTTCATTTAGTCAAATAAACCATTATAAGCATATGAAAAATAACATTTTATTGTGTTAGTTCATTTTGAATGATCTTAAAGAGATCATATCAACATTATATCTGCATTATTTTACTCTACATGTCATGTTGTCGGTTGTACATTATCATAATTTTTTGTATGAGTAAATAAATCACATGGCAACGTGTACAAAATCAATGATATTCGTGGGGAAAAGGAATTAGTTTAATTATCAACTTACTTAATGACATTGTCTTTATACATTTAAATATATTCCTAGATTATAATAATTGATCGCTGAGTAGCAACAACACAGTGTTCTCTAAACCTCAGTGATAAGCTAATTGTATTCACGAAATTGAAACAACGACTACTAGTTTAAGGATCTGAACACCGCGTTGCCATATGTTTAGTGTTAGAAGTAATCATGAAGAAGCCTTAGACATAGAATCCATGTTAATTGGCACTCACCACCAAGACATCTAAAATTTTGAGAGGATCGATGGTGCTTAGCGGATTCAAACCTGCATCACAGTAGGAAATACTTAACGATTCTGAATCCTATGAGGAAAATTAGTCTCAATAAGGTACTGTATACCTTCCTACTAGCAGGAAATACAGATTCCAAGCTTTCCGTCGATTACTCCCTTTAATCCGCCAACATACTTTAGTATCAGTAGACATAAAACATTTTCAAGAATCGAGATGGAATGAATAATGATAACATTATTTTCACAAGAAAAGATGCTTTGCAAAGTGAAAAACAAAATCTTACTTTATTTATTTTCAACATAGGAGTATTAATGAAATCCAATTCAGGTTTCTTAGGTACTTTATCCTAATTAAAAATGCATAGTGAAGAAAAATAAAACAACTTCAGACAATAAATGACGTTTTAAAACATAAAATCAAGGAATGGATTTTATTTAGTCAGTAAAAATTCAATTTGTAGAGGTAAGATTTTACTTGTAGTAGTATTTAAAGAGGCGTTTAGACGCATAGAACTTGAAAAAAGTATCAATGTACATCAATCCAAGTTGACATATTGCATCAGTACAGTGAGAGTAAGTTAAGACACAAATGATATTCGTATCAATTATATGATAAAAAATGACATATACACAATGTACTTAAAAAAACTTGGAAAATAAGAAGTACAGATTAATAGTAAAACATAAAATTAAGAGGAAGATATGAATCCATCTGTACTATTGTGAACAATTTTGATCACATAAGAAAGGCAGAAAATCAGAAGTTATAATTATTACATAGATCCCAACTAGGACAAGTGCGCTTATTGACACAACTTAGTACTATAATTAATGACTTCATGACACAGCAATATAACTTTTGAATATATCACATTTTCGCTGAGAGTTCCGACAACAGATGATAACTGTCCACTACTAGTACATAGCACTGTACACGTTTTCACTACTTATTATATTTTACATTCATCAAAGACGTTATTCTTGCAAAATTTTTAATAACACATTGACACATTTTGACTTTCTGCTGTAAGTTTTAGTTAACAAGTATTCCAAGTTACGTCTCAACGCCGATTATACTTGTGTTCCATAATGTTTGCAACTGGCGCCTGCATTAATATATCGAGAACACGTCTAAATTCTAAGCTCGAAAATGTCCTCGGCTCGGGCATTTCTGAGTGACTGACAACTGAAGCCTGCTATCCAACTTAACACACGATTCATAAAAATAAATGATTTTATCTAACGTTTGGATCACTGATATACATATATATACAAATTATTGTCCTTACCTTTAACAAAATCCGTATTTGATAATTCGACCAAAGCTTATGCCAGCACATAGATTGATCAGTTCCACAATGTTCACAATTAGGTGAAGGGAAAAGAAAGTGTTGAAGCTCTGCATCGTCTAGTTCTCCAACATCCGTCTCTGATTTAAGGGCAGAAGTGATGGCGGTACTGGTTGTAGTAGTATTAGTAATTGTAGTGGTAAAAGAGGCACTATTAGTCGGTACAGGATCGATTTTACATTCATTAATAAATGCATTAATATCTATTATGTCATAATCACATGTAGTTAAATCCACTGATTCTTCCATTTTTTCTTCCGTTTTTGACGAGTTACAGTGAGCAAATTCTTCTGATGGGCGTTTTTCCATAGTCCACTGACATAATGGTATTCTCATCTAAATAAATGTATCAAGAATAAAAAGTATTTTGTTTTGGATTCATTATATTTTAAAACTAACAGAAAGCTGGTTGACAACATAAGTAATACTTGATTTCAAAAAACTGGTTAGTGATCATACATTATCTCATCCATCAAGTATTTGGTTATGAGCTAATAATACTTACTTACTTTACTTACGCCTGTTACCCCTCGTCGAGGAGCATAGGCCGCTCACCAGCATTCTCCATCCAACTCTGTCCTGAGCCTTGCTTTTCAGTTCTTTCCAGTTGCTATTCATTCTTTTCATATCTGCATAGTGTGTTCTTTGGCCTTCCTCTTTTCCGCTTCCCTTCCGAATTCCAAGTTAGGGATTGAGTCGTGATGCACATTTGTGATTTCCTTAATGTATGTCCGATGGATGTTGAGTATTTTGCGTAGACAACTGTTTATAAATACTTGTACCTTCCTGATGATGGCCGTAGTAGTTCTCCACGTTTCAGCTCTGTAGTTCTCACATCTGCTCAGATCGCCTTTATTTGGTATCTTGATGAGATATCCTTCTTTCCAGTTCGTTGGCACTTGTTCCTCTTCTCAAATCTTCTTGAATAGAAGGTGAAGCATATTTGCAGTTATTTCAATGTCTGACTTCAGTGCTTCTGCTGGTATATTGTCAGGTCCTGAAGCCTTCCCACTTTTGATTTGTCTGATGGCCATCTTGACTTCTTCGATCGTTGGTGGAGTGACATCTATGGGAAGGTCAGTGTGTGCCGCTTCGATGTTCGGTGGGTTCAATGGGGCTGGTCTATTCAGCAGTTCCTCGAAGTATTCTGCCCATCATTTCTTCTGTTCTTGAATCTCAGTGATTGTCTTTCCTTTTTGTCCTTTACTGGTCTCTCTGGTTTGCTATATCTCCCTGCCAATTTCTTCGTTGTATCATATAGTTGTCTCATATTCCCTTCTCTTGCAGCTTTTTCCGCCGTCGTTACTAGTTCTCCCATGTATTTCTGCTTGTCGGCTTTAATGCTTTTCTTCACTTCCCTGTTTGCTTCTGCGTAGTCTGCTTGTGCTTTGACTTTCTCTGCTCTTGTTCGGCTGTTGTTAATTGCTAGTTTCTTGTTCTTCCTTTCTTGAATTTGTCCAGGGTTCCCATAGAGATCCATTCCTTGTGATGATGCTTCTTAGGACCAAGAACCTCCTGACACGTTGAAGTTAGTGCTTCTTTTATCCCTTTCCAGTTGTCCTCCAAAGTAGTTTCTTGTTCTTTCAGTAGATCCTGTAGAGCTTGGAACCTGTTGTTGAGAGTTATCTTGAATTCATGGAGCTTGTCAGCATCTCGAAGGAAGGCTGTATTGAACCTTTGTAGTGCTGTCTGTCCAGTTGTCCAATCTTCCTTTAGCTTCAGTCTCATCTTAGCCACAACCAGGTGGTGATCTGAAGCTATGTCAGCTCCTCTCCGGGTTCTCATATCTTCCATTGATCTTCGGAATTTTTTGTTGATACAGATGTGATCTATCTGGTTCTCTGTGGTTTGGTCCGGTGAGATCCATGTAGCTTTGTGTATGCGCTTGTGTGGGAATATTGTGTTGCCTATAACCAATTTGTTGAATGCACATAGGTTTGCAAGTCTCTCCCCATTTTCATTTCTTTCTCCTAGTCCATGTCGTCCGATTATATCTTCATATCCTGTGCTGTCCACTCCAACTTTAGCATTTAGATCTCCCATCAGGATGGTGAGGTCCTTTCGTGAGCACTTTGCTATAATTGATTGCAGCCTTTCATAGGACTGATCTTTATCATCGTCGTTGCTATCATTGTTGGGTGCATAACACTGGATAACGTTCATTGTGATCCCTTGCTTCTTTGTTCTGAATGATGCTTTGATTATCCTGGGTCCATGAGATTCCCATCCCACAAGTGCATTTCGTGCTTCTTTGGACAGCATTAGAGCAACGCCCTGAGTGTGTGAAGCATTTTCCCCTTCGTGACCGGAGTACAGCAGCATCTCTCCTGTACCTAGCCTTTGTTGTCCAGTTTGTGTCCAATGAGTTTCGCTGATTCCGAGTACTGCCAAGTTGTATCTCCTCATTTCCAGTGCTATTTGACTGGTCTTTCCTGTCTCCCACATTGTCCGGACGTTCCATGTACCTATAAAGAGTGTTGCTCTGGTTGTTAAAGGTGCATCGGACTCGTGACTTCCGAAGAATTTCGGCTTTCATCATGAGACGTCATTATTCCTTCAACTCCCAGGGCAGAGTTTAAATGGTTTGAATTATTTTTTCTGGTTAGCGTTTTTTTAGCGAGTTAGCTTTTCTACGGGATGGGGTCGCTAACCCCATGCCCAACCCTCCTCCTTTACCCGGGCTTGGGACCGGCAGTAACTCTAGAGCTGCGAAAACTGAAGTGGATCAGAGTTCACACCTAGAAATTAATAGCTAAAAGTTGAACATCTTAACTATTAAACCACGGTTGGATATTCAGTTTTGAGCAAAGCTTATCAGTTCCATATATGCAATAATTTACCTCTCAAAGACACTCGACGGCAGTGAACAGACAAAACTACTACAGTTGACTTACCCTACAGGATATGCACATTTTGTTAGCCTTCATAATTTGGAAACAATAAAACATCAGTTTTATATGAGATGTGACATTATAGGTGACTAATTAACAGTTGAAACCACCAGAATTAATACATCGAACTACGTTTAAAACACTATTAAAAAACTGTGAGCTACTCTCAAATGCTAAAGCCAGCGTCTACACTTTAGCAACAAACCAGTTAACGCACTCTCATGGTGAAAGGGAGGGAAAACAACGCAGTTTTCTTGTGTTCAAATAACACTTAGTTTCATGAAAACAACTAATGATTCATATTTATTTGCGGGTGTGCCAAAAAGACCCATATTGATAAAATACTAAGAAATAACCTGATATGAAAGGTCAAATATTCTGCATATTATTGATAGGAAAACTGTTTAGTTCATTATGTTAGGGTCCTTAATGGCTTTGGCCAATCCACAAGAAGTCTAAAATCGAATTTTCATTTAATTTGAGGGAACTAATCCTTTCCACCTACTGTTAAAGTTAGAAACACTACCATTGGGGAATTTGGAGAGTTTAATCCTCTGAGTAGCGTTAGAATAAAAATAGCCAAGAATCGACAACTGGAGAACCACTGAAAACTAAAAAAGAATAAACAGTAGATTGCCCTAATTTGAAACTCCTAAGCATTCTACACTCATAACCTCATATGGAATTAAAACTAAGTCCTGAAGTTCGAGTGGCAAACACAACGTCTCTAGAGTGGTGGTTTCCTTCTAACCCGTTACTTATATCAAAATATCTAGTACATAATATATTCAGTTATGCTGTTAATTGAATCAGCGAAACATTTATTACACTGGTTAACTGATTATTATTTCAATCGATTTCAGGGATTAATCTTGATTGGCTCCAATAGAACTAAATAACTCAAAAACCTTTTGAGAATTTTTGTCAGAGGATAAAATCAATGACAGTAAGATGAACGTCACAAGATAGAACGATTTTTGACTGATAAAATCATTGAAGAATTCCATTTTTTGAAAGTGCTTTTTAATTTAAGAAAAAAATAACACTAATGCGTTACATATCATTGGATCAAGGAGAAAAAAGTAGGACTAAAAAAACAGTATATTAAACATTAAAAACTGACAGAAGCTTCTCTATCATATGACAAAAATCAATCAACAACATTTATTTAGTGTTACTTCTTAATGTTGACTAGACAAACTTTTTGTAATACAGGGGAGTTAAAGATGTGTTATTACAAACATCAGGATAAAATTCAAAAGAAATAATAGAGAAAGATATAGATGAAGTGTGACAGAAAAATCTGTATGAAATTGACATTTATAGTAAGATCCACTAAGGTCTAATTTTTATTTATCGTTTATCATTTAAAGTAGGTGATTGAAAACATGGTAAAAAAGAAGCAAGAGCTATACTTTGGACTTATATCTGGCATTGATTCAAGTGATTCAAACAAACAAATTCTGGGATATCGTCTGCATTTTCAGGAATCAATAGTTCCAGATCTTTATGGTGTTCGAATGTATATCACTGAAACAGAGAACTATATACATAGTGTCATCACTAAATAAGAGAGATCCTGCCAATAATAAAATGGATGAACAAATAGGACGGTAGAAAATTCTTGTGAAATGGATATGATTGAAAGATCAATAGTGTAGATGACCGTATAACAGTGAACGGGTTCACTTCGTCAGTTCTTGATGGTACAGAAAAAGATATACAAGATAAATAGGAAGAACATAAGTTAAAGATATTTGGAATTTCGATGAGCAAGGCGAAACGAATTCTCATGCGGACTTGCGTTACATCTTGATCTGATCAGTTTAAGCCCTTTTTAAATTTACACAAGTTTACCTACGTTAGGAAATATATTTTTTAAACTATCTGAGCAAACAAACATTTCTAATGTTTATTTTTAGTATATATTGTAGAAAAACGTTTTCAAATGATAGTTTCAACGTAATATAGAGAAATAGTTATGATTCAAAAGACATCATGAAATTAGCATCGTATAGATGATAACATAACAAATAATCGAACAGTATTATTTTTTATTGAATCTTACCAGACTTTACTCTAATAAACTGTAATTTTCATCGGCGAACTTATATGAAAAAATACTAAATTAATCAAGTGTATTTGAGGAGACAAAGATAACAATGTAACAGAAAGACATAACTAATAATAGTAACAATAAAAAGCAAAAGCTTGTAGTAAAATCACGGATGCAATTGTAGTAGTAATTATCAAAATACTAAGAATTACGCAACAAGAAGTGTATGACTAATAAATTAAGATATACAAGTAGCCATTGAGAAATCTAGAAAATATGAAGAAAAGAATTGGGTATAAAGAATTTGAAAGGTCATCTAATCGGTTTCTGTTCAAGGAAACGACACAGGTATTTCCAAGAAAAAATTCAGTATTCTTATGTTACTTAGT